TGATCGAAAACTACCCTGCTTTATCTAAGATTTTAAGTTCAGTTGAAAAAACGGGTTGTGAGAAGTTATTTGCCATGGAGACTACGCCAAATTTTTTTAAGAAACCCAAAGTTACGACCCTCGGAAAAGTAAAAAAAATTGATATTCGACCGTCTTGTTAACCTTTTTGTTTGTCTCAAAAACTAACCCAGCAAATTCTATATTGTAGATTGAGAGTACTGCAGTCGCTTTCTATTGGGGGCTCACTTAAAAAAAAAATTTCACATAAAAAGTTACCGTTCTACGAAAAATTCTAGAAAATTTTTGATTTTTGTGCGTTTCTTGGACTTTTCGAATATTCTCAAACATTACACTGCTTTATATGAGAATTTGGCTTCAATTCAAAGAACATCCGATTTCTATAGTAATTTCGGATGCAGTTCTTGCATTTTTGCAGGATCTTGGGACTTCTGCAAGGTCATTCATGAGGGAGACTTTATCTAAATTTTTCTGACAGCGAAAGTTTTGACCTTCGGAAAAGTCAATTTTTTGTTGACCGTTTCCCGAATCTTTTTGCTTTTTTCTCGAAAACCGACCTCTCAAATTTGATGTTTTGGATCCAATGAAGACAGCGGGGAGTAGGAAGTTCCTCTTGTATAAGAAGTTTTTCACAAAAGTTTGTACACAAAAAATTACCGTCGAATCTCTGCAATTTTTAGTTTTCTACTGTTTTAAGTTTTTTTGATTATTTATAAAGGTTTCATGTTGAATTCAAAGAGCGATTTCTGTGAATGTCATTTATTTTAAAACTACGCAAAAATTTGCCTGACACCGAAAGTTATGACACTCGAAAAATTCAGAAAGGGATTTTTCGATGTCTTTTTTGATTTTTCTCTTAATAAGTTTTCTCTAGAACTAACGGCTCAATTCTGAGCTTTTTGGTTCAATCGAAAACACGGGTTGCGTGAATCTCTTCTGCATAAACACAAAAAGTTATGATTCTTGGAATTGTCAACACTTTGATTTGTTGTACGTATTTTTTTTGCTAACTATCCGGCCAATCTAAAGGAAAACGTTTATTTGAAACAACAGGTTGCTGCAAGCTTTAATTCATTTTTGTTTGTTTCCAATTTAATTAGGAGAAAGAATATGGCCCTCAAAGGAAATAAGTTTCTGGATCTTCCATCCACGCAAAATTATTAGGAAGTTAAAAAAGCCAACAGCAGAACAAAAGCACTCAAATGAAGGTTACACGAAAAGTTAACTCCATTATCAAACAGCAAACAAGTAAAGATAACAAAGAAACTTGATTAATTTATAATTTCTTAAGTTGAAGTTAATTTTTAGATTTCACAGCGGAATAAAAGTTTTAGCGAACAGTCCAATTTTTTTAAATTGAGTTAGCATTATCAAAAAGTGATCTTGCGAAACTGCTGTTGAAATTCGAAGGGCTGTAACGCCATCTATCATTTTTTTTAAATATTGTAAGTTAAATTTTTTAAAAAAGAACAAGTGTTTTTTTTTTCGTTTACTTGTGTTAATTGACTCTTTTCCAACAGTCTGCTGGATTTGTTTCCAAAAAAAATCAGTTTTTTTTTCTTCTGTATACTTGCTTACATTGATTTTTACCCACTGTCTGTTGGCTATGTTTTCAAACTTGTTTTATCCATACTTGCAGTAGCAGTATTAGGGTGGGTTAAGCACGAGGGGCTTCTCTCAGGTATTCGACTCTTTAGGTACGATTTTCCGACATTCATTATCGGTCGAGGCTAATACTGCTCCAAAGGCTGGTTTGGCTTCAATGTATGATAACTTGCGCCGGAATAAAACGCTTTTTGTTGTAGTCCAAATAACTGAGGGAAAGTATATGCTTAATGTTTTTACATGTTCAAAACCTAAATTGTTCAGGGCACATATTTAGCAACAAACATTTCAAAAACAAACATCCGATTTCTATAGTAATTTTGGATGCAGTTCTTGCATTTTTGCAGGATCTTGGGACTTCTGCAACATCATTGTTTTAAAATTGTAAGACTGTTTAAATATCTTGTACTTTGTTGAAAAAGATGTTAAGACAACCACCCGGGTTGACCTCCATAGACCAAAAATGCTAATCATACAATTCCATAAACTAAGTCTATGAAAAAATACTAATCATACAAATTTCATACTATTTGCTAAAATGGTGTCATCGAATTTTCGAAGAACTTTTCTCTTGTTTTGGCATAAATTTTGGTCTATCGTACTAAATAAAAAAGAAAAAATTTTTGTCAAAAAAAATTTTAATCATACCAATTTCCATATAATTGCCAAAATTTAGAAGTTTGATACTTTTGTTATATTATTTGCGTGAGACAGAATTAAGACATTGCAGGCTGTTTCCAAAGCATTTTCAATGCGTGACGGCCAAACCTTTGTTTACTACGTTTGAGTAACCAAGGTGTATGTCATTTGTGTTCGGTTAAGAACACAACCAATAAATTTGAGAAATTAAAATGTAAAAAATCAATCTTTTTGGTTTATGGAAAAATGCTAGTCATACAATTTCCATATATGAAAAAATACTAATCATAGACTTTTCATGCAACTTTCTGTACGTATGGAATTGCATGGAAATTGTATGACTAGCATTTTTCCATATATGGAAATTGTATGACTAGCATTTTGGGTCAACCCGGGCACGTAGTTACTAAAAGTCGGAGCAACAAAACTGGAATGATTGTAAATCAGTGCAAAGCCCTGAATGTTGCGAATGCACTTTAAGACCATTTTAAAAACTAAATTGATTGAACATATGACTAAAAAATGAAAAAAATCATTAATTTAAATTCTCTTTTTTTTTCTTCAATTTATCCCACTACATGCTAATGTAAATTACAAAAGGATACATTTAGCGTCTTATATCTTAATAATACCACCAAAAGACTTGCCTAAATTCATTTTGTAACGATTAATTTACCGCTTTTAATTTAATAAACAATTTTTTTGTATGAACGCAATAAATCGCGCCCAATAATTGTCCCAATAAACAAATTTTTAACCTCCATAACTCTACAAAAAAATCACAGAACAAATATTTTTTGAAGGCAAAATGAAGTACGTCTATTCAAGTAAAACAAAATGACAAAACACCTGCTGCTTACGCGTGTTAAAAGAACGCAATGTATCGCGCCATAATTGTCTTGATTTCGCCAAATTAACAAATTTGCAATCGCCATAACTCTACAAAAGAAGAATCGCAGAACAAATGTTTTTTTTTTTAAAATGAGCTCAAAAAACAATATTTTTCAAATGATTTAGAAATGTTTTAATTAGAAATGTGAAAAGTGACTGAATAAAAAACTACACCAAACGAAAATATTCCGCTCTTTCTTCAAAAGTGGGAAAAATAAATGTAAAATGAAGTGCTAATATTCAAGTAAAACAAAACTGCTTGTATCAGAGCGAAGTTTTGAATGTTATAACTGTCGTTTAATGTCTATGGAGTAGTTTATGTTTCAGAAAAATTTTGAAGATTTAAAAACAATTGACAAAATTTCAGATAAAAAAATTCTTCTGAAATTGTCCCAAACTGGCCGAGTCGGCTATCCTTGAGTCCGCATAACTATGCAAAAAGTGATCATAGGTGAAACATTCTTTCTAAAAATAAGTTCAGAACAATAACATTTTTTGGATGGTATAGAAAGATTCTATCAAAAATGACTAGTTGAAAATTCGAAAATTGTCTGAAGAAAAAACCACCCGAGCACAAATGCTCAGTTGCTTTTGTTACGAAAGTTGGAACAACAATACTGCTCGTATCGAGGCAAATCCTTGAATGTTGCGATTGCTTTTTAAGGTCATTAGAGCAGTAAATAACATGAAAAAAGAAATCAGATGTTGTTCTGTATACTTAAAATAATTGTTTTAAAATTGGAGATTTTCTGTGTATTATTCAACACCCCACACGCCATATAAAGTACAAAATGACAATTTTTGCTCCTAGTAACAAATCAATGATTATAAACATTTTCAATTACAAAAATTGGATCTACTTATTAATCTCCGCCCCACCTCCCTTTTCAAGAAAGGGGGGAGATTGTTAAGTATTTTACTTGCAGCGAATTTTCGGCCAATCAGAATGAGCGAAATCCGAAATTACATACAACCCTCTAATGCAAATTCACTGTTTCTATTTACAGGGATGGAGAGTGTTTAGCAGATACAATAAGGAGATTGTTAAATAGATCCGTAAATTTAAACACAATTTTAATTTTGTGTTTTTTTATGTTTCTCGATAAATTTAAAGTAAAACACTTCTTATATCATCTGAAAGCCTCATTTCATCCCTTCATATAGCTGAAAAGCTCACGCGGTAGGTGAAATCAAACTCTGCCCGAATAATTATCGAACTGAAATATTGTGCTCATATTTTGGTGATAAAAAACACAAATGTTCATCAGGAGCAAAATTTAATCAAGAAAACATGAAAGCTTAAAAGCGTTATAAACGATTATTTGCAAACTGGTAATTCAACATTGGTTTGAAAAATCAAAAAAAAAATCCTGATCGTGGGTTTTTCTACTTATTCAGCCCAAATTTCTTCATTTTGCGATCGTGGGTTTCTCAATGTATTCATGCAAAGAACAAGTACTCTGTTCGCAGTGATTGGTTTGCTTAATGCAATTGCAATTACATTAGCTGATCTCTAACAGGGCCGAACTTTGAACAAATACAAAGGTGGTCATTATTTTTTTCCTGCCACTATTTTTATTTTCTGGTGTCTTTTTTGCGTTTTTTTTTCTGGTCTGTATAAAGTTTTGCATCTTATTTGCGAAATAAATTAGAATAGTTAACTAAGCATTCTATAGTTTTGGCTGAGTCGGATCGTTTAGGAGTCGACTTATAATTGTGAGCAATACCTTTTGAGATGATGCTGAAATATGATAGGCTAATTCTAGTAATTCTAATAATTACAGTTCAAGATGTTGAAATATTGATTTTTGGGCGGAATAAATAAAGTGATCCCTGCTGCTTTCTAGGATAATAATGACACCAGGTGACCTTGGGACACATGGCGTTTTGAGTGGATGAATGTGACAAAAAGCAATCAGCATTGGGCTACCCATTCAACATATACGGACAATATCTGTTCCGGATCTGCTACATGCACTCATACTTTGAATGTTCTGCCTCGACCGCGTTATAAATACAGTGTACCCGATCCTCTGCCACATAGTTCATAAAGAATTTTTTATGACATTACGAGTTGATTATATTTCATGACAAGGCTTATGACCATACAAGTTTAAAATATATATATTAATAACACGTGGAAAGCTTAATATCTGAATTTAACTTTTGTTTCGTAAAATGTAATGATTGGAAAAGCTCTAGCTTAGTTCAGACCTTTGCTAGGTTTTGTAGAAAAGTGCTCGGTTTTGTAGAAAAATATCGTTCTGAGGGCTTGGAAAATTTGCTCGAAAGTTGTGTTCCCCTTTCAAAGTTAGGAAAATTTTGCTCTCATAAAATTTTCAGCTGGATAATCAAAAAAATTTTTGCAGTAAGTTTAAATCTGGAGCGCCAAAAATTATGTTTTCCATTCGAGAGACGGAAAGAAAGAATAAATTAATCTAAGCGAGATTTATAAAGCTAATTTTATTGGAAAAAAATCTCGAAATGGACAAGCAACGGGATCAACAGAACCTCTAAGCGCTTTCTTTAAACTTTTAATGCGCTTAATATGAATTAAGCCAACCATTTTAAATCCAATACTGCCTGCGCCTGGTTCATACAAACTAAACTATCGGCGCTTATAAATTTAGAAAAAATTAGCAATCTTTTCGTTAATTTTTTTTTAATTTTAAAAATTTTTTCAGAAGACTTCAAATCTTATTTTTCATCATTTCGACCCTTTCAATTACTAATACCTTGGGTAACCCTATTATCCATTGCTATTCTTACAAAACCTGTATGAAATTGTACAGTCCGCTGACCCTGCCCGGTGTCGAACCCGGTCATTAGGTTTGGGAGAGCAATATATTTACGACTGCCTTTTAACGTGTTTGAATTACTTTTGTTTTTCAAAAAATGGTGTAGTTTTCAAAAGTAAAAGTTTTTTTTAGCTTTTCTGTGGTGTTACGAAAATTCAATATATCATAGGAACTTCATATCTTGTAAGAGTAAACCTAAGGTCGTACTAAGTATTTACATCATATAAGAATCAATTCAAACTCCTATATGAATCTTATAAGGATCTTATAAGACTTCAAATCGCTCTTCAGGTTTTCTACTTGTGGGAAAAAGAGCATACAAAGCGCAAATGGCTCAAAAATTCACAAGTAAGCTAGCACTGCAGAAAAGCATTAGACCACTAAATTAAATTTAAATTTTACCTGGCTAATGAGGGAAATTTTGAATATATGATAAAATTAGTCATAATATTTGATATTAAATAAAGGCAGTCTCAAGGTATCAATTCTGTCAGACAATTGTCATACAAAACAGCTCAGTTGCAGCTTTGTGTGTATGTGCGTAACTTATACAGGGTTCCCACTTTTAAAGCACGTATATTAGTTTTTCTTGTTTCGACTCATGACCAAAAACTATGGCCAAATTAAGACCAAAAAGTTATAATACATTAAGATTCAATTGAGACTTTTTACGCCAGATTCTTCAAATTGTTACCGAAGAAAACAACTCAGTTGAAGCCCTGAGTGTTTCAACTTTTTTATGGTTTATGGAGCAGTGGTGTTCGTTTTGAAAAAAGTTATAAATTATAAAATAAAGTTAAAAATTTATATATTTGAAAAAAGTTATAAAATCTACACGGCTCCTAGAAGACAAAAGTTTTTTATTGATACTTTTTGATCTTATCTCCAAGTCTCCTTTCTTGATTTCATTAGAAATAGCCTATATTCGTTGCAATCAAAGCTCAATTAATGACATTGATGGAAGTCAAACGTAACAGCTCAGTCTAAGGCCCTAGTTACCAATTGCTAAGCATATTTTCAAACTTATAATTAAAAGGCTATATTGGCCTGGTTAACGGCGCTAAAATTAACCAACTGATATTAATAGTTTATAAACTTGGTGAGGACTGATAACTCAATTTCATCAAACATTTATCAACTGAAACGATTCAATTGAATCGCACAAGAAATTGAACTCATGCACGGCTACCTATTTTAGATAACAAACATTTGTTTTCGATATTTTGGAGTTCTCTATATAGCTGTTTTTTTTTGGTTTCATAGAAGGATCCTATTTTCAGTGCAAATGAAAAAGAATGAATGAGATGATCTCCCGCATAGTAGCCCAGTTTTAGTCCCCCACTTTAAGTTTTGAAGAAGAGCTTCGAACTACTAAAGGAACTGAACGTTACATTTATCTGGCTTATTGGGGTAATCATGACCATTTTTTGATGTTTCATGACTGGTTAGCATACTTATCACGCAAACCTAACAGTTTCAGCATGGTTTGAAAGTTTCATCACATTTGCACGTAGTAAATTTATTATGCAGTTTTTCTAAAAACGCAACCGCAGTCAAAGTTAAACGTCAATATCTCCAAAAATATGATATTAAGGGTAAAAATATGCTATTACGTAATAGCTCAGTCTAAGGCCCTAGTTACCAATTGCCAAGCATACTTTCGAACTTATAACTAAAACGTTATATTGGCCTGGCTAACGGCGCTAAAATTAACCAAATGATAATAATAGTTTATAAACTAGGTGAGGATTGATAACTCAATTTTATCAAAAATTTACCAACTGAAACGACTCAATTGAATCCCACAAGAAATTGAAGACATGCACGGCTACCTATTTTAGATAACAAACATTTGTTTTTGATTTTTTGGAGTTCTCTATATTGCTGTTTTTTTTTGGTTTCGATAAGAAGGACCCTATCTTCAGTGCAAATGAAAAAGAATGAATGAGATGACCAGATCTCCCACATAGTAGCCCAGTTTTAGTCCCCCACTTTAAGTTTTGAAGAAGAGCTTCGAACTACTAAAGGAACTGAACGTTACATTTATCTGGCTAATTGGGATAATAATGACCTTTTTTTTGGTGTTTCATGATTTGTTTGCATACTTATTACGCAAACCCAATAGTTTCAGCATGTTTTGAAAGTTTTGTCACATTTGCACATTGCAAATTTATTATGCAGTTTTTCTAAAAACGCAACCGCAGTCAAAGTTAAACGTCAATATCTCAAAAAATATGCTATTAAGGGTAAAAAAGCAAATTTTTCACGAGAAAAGCACCGAAGTCATGGCAATGTTTTACTGTACAAGAAGTTCAGCTAAAAGTTCATTGTGTTTCATGCTGCTTAGAAAAACAACCCATTACTCGAGTTGTCCCAGAAAATAAATGTTCAGTGTTTTTTAATGATGAAAATGACGTTGACTATTGTTTTGCATAGTTTGGACGTTTTTGTGATTAAAAACAAGGATATTCGATTAGGCAGAAGCATAGTTGGTGAATTTTATGCAAAACATATTTACTTGTTAACCATATACTGATTATCAGGGGTTGAAAATTAGTGCGGATTTACAACTTAACCAAAAAAATCTTATTCTTTCTAGAAACATTTTTTTTTGAGAAAAAATATGATAAAATTTAAAATTCGTTTTAATTCTACGTCCAAAATTTTTTTTGTCTAAACGCACCAACAAAATACTTTTGTTCCCCCACTGCCACTGAGACCTTACGAGCTCAAACTCGTGTATATAAACCATGGAACAATTTTCACTAAAACGTGATTTCAGTCATCAAAAAATCACCAACTGAAATATACTTTTTGCAATTATAAGAACAAACAAAACAATTGAGTTTCTGCTTTCAAATTAGCAATATCTTAGTGTATGGATAACGTACATAATTCATTTAAGTGGATGTTTCAAGACAATAGTCAAAAATACTATAATTGCTTATTTTAGCCTTTGCGTGTTAAGATTTGCGACATTTTAAGGGAGAAAATTACGCTCATACAATTTTACAAATTTTTTGTGTTCCTTTTTTAATTACCTAGTTAAAGTTTTGATGCCGAATTTAGGCTGTGGAAACAACAACAAAAATGAGTCGTTTTGATCGGATACGATTAAAAGTAAAATTTATTATAAAAAGACTCATCAAAAGATAGCCAACCACCCGGACACATCAAAAGATAGCCAACCATCAGTGCATGGCAGCGTTCCATTAAAATCAGAGAAGTCGAGTTTAAGTTTTTCCTCCGATAATTTGATGCTACAGCAAAGGATCATTCAATAGCTTTCCGAAAGTCTTTTTTTTTGTCTTTTGCTTCATTTTCTTTCTTTCTGATCATTCGTGATCAATTTTTGCAATTCGTTTTATTTGCAAAATTGGTGCATATACAAAGCAGTCCCATGCAAAACAGTCCAATACAAAATAGTCCCAAAATCATGTAATGGAGGAAAAAAACAGTCCAATACAAAACAGTCCGGTTTAAGGTCGCTGGTGGGCAATAACCGGCTCTAAATTTCGTATTTGGTCCTACACTCTTATGGCAAGCTCACAACACGTTGGCGCGACTGCGGCGGTCACTATTTTGTTCATTATTTTTGTTGAACAAAGGGCAATTCTCGGCCTGCCGGCTTGTTAAAACAATTATTAATTGGGACTGTTTTTCGGACTGTTTTGTATCGGACTGTTTTTTCGTTCATTTTCATACTTTTCCGGACTGTTTTGTATTGGACTGTTTTGTATGGGACTGTTTTGTACAGACACGGCAAAGTTATCTGTTTGAAAATGATTTGTAGATCTCTATTGTTTATGAACACTTCACTCTATCTAAGTTTTTGAAAATAACTAAAAATTTCCTATTAGTCAAATAAATCATGTGATTGATAAAAATTAGGCGAAACAGTCTTTTGAAAAAAGTTTTTGATTTTGGTCAGGTGCGGAT